TATATATATATATATATATATATAGTGAGGTTCAATAGAGAACCATAATTAACAAGGAACCAAAGAACCAATCGTGAGCGTCGGAAATCATAATGATCAACGGCCAAGGAAATAGATGTACACTTGTACATTGGACGCACACATATCGGATTATACGAAAAAATCCACCTCCTTACAAAAAAACTCACCTCTTTTTTTCGTTTAAAATTTTTTTAGGCCACATTTTTTATCGAAAAAAAACCGAATATACCGTTGTTCTCGATTTTTCGTCTTCTTTCTATAGAGATCCATGTTGATATATAAAAAATGAATTTTTTTTTGAAAAAAACGCACTTCATTTTGTTAGTTTTATCAATATTTAAGTTTATTTTTATAAAAAAAAACTAATTATACAAAATATATTAATTTTTTGTACTCTATTAATAAACATCAACACCGACTAAAAAAACCTCGATCAGTGTAGATTCACACTGTAAATCTAAACTGTAAATATTTCAATTTTTAACATTCACAATGTGAAAAAGCTCGATCAATTTAGATTCACATTGTGAATCTGACTTACTATTATGCACACTGTAAAACTGAGAAGGTTCACAATGTGAATCTGAATAGGTTCAGAATATGAATCTGAACAGGTTCACAATGTGAATCTGAACTGAAATATCGTTTTTTTTAACATGAATATGAATCTATGTTTAAAAAGTACCAAAAAGTATGAATTTTGATATATATATTTATTAATTTTTTTTCTATAAAAAAATAGACCTTAACTTTTCAACAAAGAAAATGAAGTGAGTTTTTTTCGGAAAAAAAGTTCGTTTTTTATTTATCATTATGAATCTCTATGGAAAGAGGACGAAAAATCGTGAACGGTATATTCGGTTTTTTTTCGATAAAAAACATGGCCTCAAAAAAATTTAAAACGAAAAAAAGAAAGTGAGTTTTGTAATAATCCGGTGCATGTGCGTCCACTGTAAAGTCTACAACCATTCATTTTACCGTTAATCGCTTTAAATTTCGACGCTTTGAACTTTTCCATATATATATATATATATATATATATATATAGAGAGAGAGAGAGAGAGAGGAAGGATCACTTGAGTACTCATAGTTCCCCGAGAACCCGAGAACTAAAAGTGGAACGTTGAATCAATTGTTTGGACGGCTTAGATGATGGGCATAATTTGTAAATATTACTATATCCAGTGGCATAACAGGTTTTTTAAAATACTCCTGGGGATATATTTGGTAGAAAAAAGTGTTATATTTTAAAGATTAGTCAAACAAAAGATTTCCCCTCAAACCCTTCGTCATTTTCACCACCGAACCTTTTCTCTCAGGCCTTTCTCATCGATTGTTTCCCCAAAATCTAGTATCGTCGTTTGGAATCACGATCCGACCTCGGAATCCATGGCTTCCTCCGCCATTGTCGATTATGAAGTTATTGCTTCTGATTCCAGGTGATTTTTCTGATATGACAAAAAAATAAATTATCCGTTAATGGAAAAATCCCCAAATTAGTCTCTCTCTCTCCCCGTGTTCTTCAGTGACTCTCTCCTCCACGATCGCCTCCCTCCGCCGGTCAACAATCAAAAAACCTAATCACTGGATTTGAGGGAGGTCGGTAATCTGATTTATTGCACTAAACCCACAACTGTACGACCGCGGGATGCCGGTAACATTCGTCTTATTCATCTTAATCAGAGACGTAATTGAATTTGAGATCAACAAAATCCACGTGTGAGTATAGTTTCTATTTCTAAATTCGCCATGTTATTGTGCTATTTCACCGGATGATGATCATTGATCAATGTGTCGATTTGTCGAATGAAAACCTAAACATAAGGATTTTTTTGTAACAATGTGTTTTTGTTGGTGTTTTGATTGGATCTTTTGATTTACAAGCGTTTAGATTCCTTCAGGGACGGCTTTCTTCTATTCAAGATGAAGTATCTACAGTTGGATCTGATTTGGAGTCACTTAAGGTGTTTGATTACACTCATTTAACTGCTTTCTGTTTTCTACATCATTCTCATGCTGATTAAATGTTTGTGTTTTGAATTAATTTGACCTATTCGTTCTTAAAATTGGTGTACAAGATGAAATAATGAAGCTTGGATTGCTTGTAAAAGATCCCACGGCTCCAAAACCTTCTGCACCTGTGGTGGAGGAAAAGTAAGCAACAACTGGATCGTGACATAGAGACCTTAAAATCACAGTCTAACATTGTCAGCATCCGTGCAGTAAGTATTCAAAATGCACATTTCTTTTTAACTCATATCTTATTTCTGATCACATGTATGTATGTAATAACTAATAGTTGAAGTTTTTAAAGTTAAATAGATGAGTGATGACATTGGAATTCCAGGATGTGGTTACTGAAAACGAATTGAGAAGAGACTGTTTGGTGAAATTATTCCTCTTGGTGGTGATATTGGTGTTACCTTTGTCGACATTGGAGTCCTTGAATCTGTGAAGGATACCTTGAACGAGTTGGTGATGCTACCTCTTCAAAGGCCTAAATTGTTCTGTAAAGGGCAGCTAATAAAGGTAACCACAACACAAGTTTTTATATTATAATATATTGATATTGAAAATGATGTTTTTTCATTAGTAATTTGATGAAAGTGTTTCCATGTGTTTTGTATTTTGTAGCCTTGTAAAGGAATGGAATGAGTGATTCCATTCCATTATCCTACTTTCATTTTTGTCAATTACACCATTCTACCTTCAGTTTTCTTTTGGGTTTTCACGGATTTTATAAAACAAACTATTCAAACTGTCTTCAAGTTGCCAACAAACCCAAGTTATTGTGTAATATTTACACTTTTGGCCCGTGTTTTAAATTTTCTTACAAATTTGGTTCGAACTTTTTTCTTTTACAATATGGTCTCAATTTTTTTTCAAATCAATTTTGTTATGCAGCAATGAGTATCCACTTTTCATACCTAGACAAAACTTTTGCACAACGGGTGTAGAAACATCATGGTCAGACAAAAGTTCAAGTATTTTTGGAGTTGCTTCAATGGAATCAGAAAAGAAGGCTCGTTTGGAATCTTCTAGTAGCTTCAGTTACACCTCAGCATCCCCTCATTCCTTTAAAACACAAATGGATTTGCAAAAAGGAATTTCACTTTTAAAAAAAAGTGTCGTGCGTGTAACAACTTATTGTTACAACTCTTTATGCCTTGAAGTTCCTCCTGAAGCTTCTACTTTCAGCCATCAGACATTGAAGCTCGTATTAGGACAATGACAATTTCATACATTAGGCTTCCCAACTGTTTAATCCTAGCTGTCACACCTGCAAATGCTGACCTTGCCAAAATGCACTTCAAATTGCTAGAAATGCAGATCCTGATGGTAGGCATTGATTTCATTGACAGATTTTGGTAGAAAAACTAGAAGTAGAATGAAAGTTCTTCTCTTTAACGTGGCTTCTTTTCTTTTTGTGCTGTTAGGTTACAGGACAATTGGTATGATCACAAAGGTATACTATAACATACATGATTTCAGTTTCATTTTTTCCTTACTTCTCTTTCATTATTTAGTATTATTCTTCATTTATGACACAATGTTGTCCTTTTTGATGCTTTAGTTGGATATTATGGATAGAGGAACCGATGCACGTAATTTTTTGCTTGGAAAAGTGATCCCCCTTCGACTTGGCTTTATTGGTGTTGTAAATCGTAGGCAGGAGGTAATATTCTTTGTTCTATTTTATATATATATATATATATATATATATATATATAACATATGCTATAAAGTTTGGAGGTGTATGGAGTCATGGTGCATAAATGCTTTTAAGATCAAGAGTTGGCAGACTCCACCTTATTGACTTTAACCAGGTATCTTATCTTTTTCCAAGCTTGAATGCATCATTTATTATATCTTCATATATCATCATTTAATAAAAAATGGACTCACCCCAAATCAATGTACTCATTTACCCATTTATAATATTATTATCAGTATGTAATTCATACATATTGATAATGGTTCATATGAGATTTTTTTTTAAATTTTGGTATTTATATGAATTATGATGTGACTGGTTATAAGTAAATCATATGAATTACATGTGATTCACATGTAAATCATAAGTGAATTACATATGAATTATATGTGAATCACATGTAATTCATATAAGATTTACATATGAATTACATGTAATTCACATGTAAATCACAAGTGAATCACATATGAATTACATGTGATTCACTTGTAAATCACAAGTGAAACACATATGAATTACATCTGATTCACATGTAAATAACATGTAATTCACATATGAATTACATGTGATTCACATGTAATTCACATATGATTTACTTGTGATTCACATGTAAATCACAAGTGAATCACATATGAACTACATGTGATTCACATGTAAATCACTAGTGAATCACATATGAATTACATGTGATTTTACATGTAAATAACATTTAATTCACATATGAATTACATGTTATTCACATGTAAATCACATGTAATTCACTTGTGATTCACATGTAAATAACAAGTGAATCACATATGAATTATATGTGATTCACAAGTGAATCACATCTGAATTATATGTGATTCACATGTAAATTACATGTAATTCACATATTAATCACATGTAATTCACATGTAAATCACATATGAATTACATGTGATTCACATGTAAATCACTAGTGAATCACATATGAATTACGTCTATATGCACACATGCATTTTGTGCGAGTGTTCTTCGTTAATTATTTTTTAAAATTTTCTTGTAAATTTCACATTTGAATCTTAAAAGATACAATCACATGTGTATATCATATTATATAATCACTTGTGAATCTTACATGATATATACATGTGCATTTTTGTGAGTGTTCTTGCATTAATCAAATTTTTTTTTAATTTTCTTGTAGATTTTTAATAATTTGTGGAAAATGTTGAAGAGGTGAAAAGTGATAAATTGAAGAAAATATGAAAATCTTGATATTAAGAGATGACAACACTGTGAATCTTTGTAGTTTATATATATATATATATATATATATATATATATATTATTTTGTACTGAATATAATACTTATACTATTATGTTTATAGATTGATTAATAAAAATGAGATTTTTTATGGTTTAGTTGAGAATATTATAGTATAAGAAATATGCATATATACATTTAAAAAAATATGCATATATGCATCTAAAACGTTGATTTTTTTTGTTAAAAAATTTAGAGTATTTTTTTTAAATATTCAATATACTGATTTTTTTTAAAAATGTAGTTTTTTTGAAAAAATTGCTTTCTTTTTTTGAAAAAAAAAGGTAATTTTTTTAAAAAAAATTGGAGTGTTGTTTAAAAAATTGCAGTTTTTTAACAAAATGCAGTTTTTTTTAAATTACTTTTTTTCAGATTTTTTTAAAATTCATTTTTCTGACAAAAATTAAAAAATATCCATTTAAAAAAAAATAAAAAATTATTTTAAAAAAAATCCGAAATTTGATTTATTATGTTATTTTTGTCCAATAACACATAAAATAAACATTAAATGAAATCGGTAAGATTACGAGCATGTCCTTAATGAGTTAATTTTGATCTAGTGCTCCACCTTTAGTTCTCAGGTTCTCGGGAAACTATGAGTTCTCAACCGATCTCACCCATATATATAAGGGTGAGATCGGTTGAGAATTCATAGTTTCCGAGAACCTGAGAACTAAAAGTGGAGCGTTGTAATTCATTAAGGACATGATCGTCATCTTACCAATCTCATTTAATGTTTAATTTTTTGTGTTATTGATCATATTAATATAAATGTTAAAAAAGTTACAAAATAAATCAAATTTTCGGATTTTTTTAAAAATAGTATTGATTTTTTTTATATAAAAAAGTGCAGATTTTTTAATTTTTTTTATAGAAAACATGAATTTTTGAAAAAAAAATTGAAAAAAATATATTTTAAAAAAAAAAAACAGCAATTTAAAAAAAAACTGCATCATTCTAAAAAAAAACTACATTTTTTTTTCAAAAAAACTGCAATTTTTTCAAAAAAAAAAAAACTGCAAATTTTTAAAAGAAAACTGTATTTTTTTAAAAGAAAACTGTATTTTTTTCAAGAAAAAAAAATCTGCATTTTTAAATAAAAAAAGTGCAAGTTTTTTAAAGAAAGCTGCATTTTTTTCAAAAAAAACTGTAATTTAAAAAAAAAACCGCGTTTAAAAAAAACTACATTTTTTTCAAAAAAAACTGCATTTTTTAAAAAAAAGTAAATTTTTAAAAATCAATAAATTAAAAAAAAGAACTTGAATATTTAAAAAACAAATACTCTTGTTTTTTAACAATAAAACCAAAGTTTTAGGTGCATATATACATATTTTTTGAAATGCATATATGTATATTTCTTATACTATAATATTCGTAAGTTAATCATAAAAGATCTCATTTTTATTAATTAATCTATAAACATAATAGTACAAGTATTTCATTTGATATAAAATAAAATATAAAAAATAAAAAATGCTACAAATTTCAAAGTGTTTTCATGTTTTCGTGTCAATATTTTCTTATTTTTTTCAATTTATCCTTTTTCACCTCTTAAATATTCACCAAAATTTCTTCCAAATTTACAAGAAAATTAAAAAAAAATGATTGATGCAAAAACACTCACAAAAATACATATGTGATTTTCATGTGATTAACATATGAATCACATGCGATTCACATATGAATCCCGTGCTATTCACATATGAATCACATTTACATATGACATCATATCTAAATCACATGTAAATCAAATGCGATTCACATATGAATCACATGTGGTTCACATGTGAATCATATGTGAATCACATGTGATTCAAATGTGAATCATATGTGAATTACATGTGATTTACATGTGAATCACGTGTAATTGTGATTGACATGTGAATCATATGTAATTCATATGTGACCAGCTTGTGATTTTCATGTGAATTACATTTTATTCATATGTGAATTACATGTGATTTACATACGAATCACGTATAATTGTGATTTACATGTGAATCACATGTGATTTTAATGTGAATTACATATGATTTACATGTGAATCACATGTGATTCATATGTGAATTACATGTGAATCACGTGTAATTGTGATTTACATGTGAATCACATGTGATTTCATATGTGAATTACATGTGATTTACATGTGAATCAAATGTAATTCATATGCGATTTACATGTGAATCACTATACACTTATAGTCATGTTGAAGTTGTTGTTAAGAAAATGTATATGTAGATTGTGAATTATTGCTTACTGGTTAAAATATTACCATCAACAAGAAGAAGAAAAAGTGGCACCAATCTACAATACAGAAGGCCCATAGATGTGCCCTCAACACAAACAAGCTGATAAAAAAGAATAAACCATTTAAACCAACAAAACTTCCAGAATGAAAAAAAGATAAAGAGTAAAATTCACCTCAAGCTCAGAACAATCTGCTTTCAAAGTCCCATTTGATTCATTGTTATATGAAGATGGGACAATTTGCTGAATTGTTTTTCCCTCTGATATCGTAGATCTGTAAATGAAAAACCATCAAGAATCAATAGAGAAAAACATGTAACAAGATGCAATTTTTTGAGGAAAATGTTTTGGGTCATACATGATATAATTACTCTCAGTGGAAAATGTTTTGAGGAAGTCATCTTTTGTCTCAACAAGATTATCTGCAAAAATGTTCTGCAAGAAAAAAAAATTATAAAGATCGGTATTTTGTTATCATAAAAATAAAACAAAGGGTAAAAAGTGAGTACTCAATGATCACCTGAAGAGAAGAATTAAGATCTGTGATTCCTTTCCCAACCTTTATAAGAAAAAAACAAAATCAACAATTAAAAGGAGACAAAGTCAGACTACATGTAAGCATGTACTTTAACATTTCAAAAAAGCTTAAATGCAGGAAGTAGCAATGTACTTCCATTTAGTTATTTATTCTAGCATTGTAATTTCATTTTTTCTATTAAGTCCTACTTTAATAAAAACTTAAATTATTGTGAAGTCAATTTTTTTCTTCTTAGAACATTGAACGTTGAAAAACATATACATTTTCTTATTGGATTGGCAAGGCTTTTTTATGTCCCTAAAATGTTTTACAAGCTTAGTAATAGGCTAAAAAGTATCAAGAATCAAAGAGGCCAAAGTCACCTTACTACAATGGAAAATGAAAATTAATTGGTATGAAATGTAGTAACTGTACATTAGGATATCATCATATCTTTATAATACCACCAAAACTTTAGTTGCTTTGGTTTTAAACGTGTAGCTAGTTAAAATAATCTAACCAGTATGCTTTTCTATATGTGATATTTTTCAACTTCTCTCTAAATCCATCATTCTTGTATGATTCTAGATCAAAGAGAACCATTTACCTCAAATTTTAGTTTGTACTGTACAACACAAACTAAAAATAATTTCTTATTGGAATATGTGTAGTGTTGGTTTTAGCGATTATAGGGTGACTAATGGTTGTTACAGGTGTTATATGATCAGTTTTAACCTCAGGAGTAATGATAGCAGGAAGATGGACGGTTTTACCCCTGGTGTTCATATTTCTAGCTCTTAACAGATTGTGGTTCTTCCATGATATTAAGTGATTTGTGATCGAAACTCTGCACTAGCAAGATCAAAACTTTGTTTCAAGGAATATAACACCTAAAACAACTCCGCAAGAACAGAGATGTCTTACAATCTAGCGTCAACACGCCAGCAAGTTATGCACAAGGGGATCATCACCACACAATTTAAAATTGTCACAATTGAATATTCAAGTTTGTTCATAACTTATCAGGAGCAGATAGCATCATGCAATAAAAATTTACGTTTATAATTTGGATAACATAGAGGAACTAAGGAAGTAATCTTCGAGGATTCAAGAATTTCCCAATGTGCATAAAGTTTTCTTCATCATTCCGGACTTGATACGAGAACGTGTGGGACTATGTACTAGCCTAATTGAAATATAAAACTGAATATGAGTAACTGAAATAGCCGAAATTTCAATAACCTATTAATGAACAAAGAACAGATTATGATGTGATTAATTGAGATCGTAAGAAAGTGCTTTCATAGTCACCTGCTACAGAACGACAACGAGACATGAAGCTGCTACAGTTTATTTCAAGTCTCCAAGGGCAATCGCAACAAAATCAGGTGAATAAACTTACTGATTTTAAGTCGTTTAGTGATGATAGAGAGGAAGAAATGGTTGTGGAAGGCGATGAGACCGTCGATCTGACTCTAGACAGTTCCGATTCGAGGAAATTAGGTAGAGTTGATAGCGGCGGCGCTAGCGGTGGAGCTGGAGAGGAAGATGACTCCGCTTTGCGAGCCGATGATTCTTCCACAAAGTCATTGAAAAGGATTATTTTGGTTTGGACGCCTCAATTGCACAGTGATAACAACGCCACCACCAGTACTAGGTTTAGGACCTAAAGTGAGGCCAAAAGGCTTGTCGACTTCAACTTCGGTCTCCTTTCAAGCACCCGTGGTTTTAATGGCTTTGATATCTAAACCTCTTCCTCCTTTTACAGACATGATGGTCTTCTCCCTAAAAGCCATCCACACAATCCACTGAAATACGCCGCTCGTCGCAGTTGATGAGATTAAATGAGGTGGAGATGTAAATCGATGAACGGATGAGTCAGAGATCAAAAATTGGTGATTCACAGGAGTGTGGAGGAGTAATGAATAATTTTTTTTTAGGGAAAATCAACGACAATGAGACAATTGGTGATTCACAGGAGTGTGGAGGAGCAAAGGTGGAGGTGATACACTCTGGCGACTGAAGACGACAATAAGAATGCGACGAGATTCAATGATTTCATCTCAAAATCTGGGATGAAGAGGTGAGATTCGGCGATTTCATGGAATGAAGATGAACATGAAGGAGAGAGAAAGACGGTGAGAGAGAGTTGTATTTTCAAAATTAATTTTGATTAATTATTATGTATGTTAATTTGTATCCCTTAGCTACCCTTGTAATTTATCGTAAAAAGTCAATGTTACCATTGAAATTGTTAATAATTACAAATATGTCATATTTGATATAGGCCATTAAATGTTTTGATCTGACGTTCTATTTTTAGTTATTGGGAAACTTTTGGTTCTCAAAAGATCCTCCCCCCTCTCTCTCTCTCTCTCTATATATATATAT